GCTACCTGGCCCTCCATGGTTAGCACACTATAACGTCAATATTTTATTCAATGAATATTTGATGTGACATATTTTAGAACTGACAGCTGCTTCGGTGAATGAATCATCTCTGTTATGATTAATCAGCTACTTACACATTGCATCTTTTGTTTCCTGAGAACCAAAACCACATCCTTCCACAACTCCACCGAGATGTCTCTGTATAGGTATACATTTGTTCAGAGAAAAGCTCTTTGGCCAACTTTTCAAACTGAGAGAAACTCAGATGACCAAAACTAGAAGATTCCAAGAGACAATCCCACTGAAGAAATAAGGACTTGGGAACTGGTGACCATGAGAGATTGTTCAAGGTCACAGAGGAAATCGTCAGTGGAGCTGGAATGAATACCTAGCTTTGTGACAGCTCATTGCATTTGCATTTAACACTCCGTGGGATCTCTCATAATCACAGATGACAATTCGAACAGGTGAAGTATGGGGCTAAATTTTCCCCATATTTCTCACCAAACAAAAAAGTTAAGAACATTACATATTAAGCCCTCGAATAATACACATCAAAGGACAAAGAGGATCTGAAGTGGAAAAGAATCACAAGGCAAGCAACAAGCCCCCCCCCTTTTTTTTTGACTGGAGAAGATAGGAGATAAACAAGGGTCATGTGGTTCTAACTCCCTGCTCTCCAAGAGCATCAGTGTGAGGTTTGTGAGGTCCCGGGATGACATGGATGATGGCTGGCCCTGGGATCAAGCCAGAAACAACATACAAGGCTTTCTCAGCAGAGCAGAGAGAAAGAATGAGAAAGAGAGAAAGACTTAGGAATAGATTTTGCTTTCAACTATGCTGATCCTCATTTCCAGCAAGCCAAAATAAAATTCTTGGCACTATGCAGAGAAGAATGCACAAAAATAATGATCATTGACCCACATGGTGGTGATAAGATTCTCTCTTTCCTTTTCATCCAATTCAATGTCATCACTTAAGGCAGTAATGCTTTTCATTTCAGTCAGAAGACTTAGAAAAATTGTAGCCAGCTTTCCCTTATCAGTTTTAGCCTGGTAAGGGAGGCTACTTCTAACCAGTAGAAGCTGGTCTCCACTGGTCTCCATTATGGGGACTATGAAGAAACTTTCTAATTTCTTAGTGCCAAAAGGCAAGGCTCTGAATGGATCTGAAATCAAGCGTCAGGGCTGTCCTTGATCTTGTATATATTATTCATATTCTTATCAACACTATTTCTCACTCTCCTTTTGCAGGGGTTAATTATTAAAATGGGATTTCATCTACAATCTATGCTTTATTTTCTTTCCATTTACAGCATTCTTTAATCAGCACACAAAAACTTCCAAATCTCTTTATTTGGGTCAATGAATCCACATTTATAGAATAAGGCATGGAAATTCTCATTTTTTTAAAAGCATCCCAAGTGACAAAAATGTCCAAGATTTAATATTCTAGTGACAGTTTCTCTCTCTTTTTTCCTTCCCTTCTTGGGCTGCTCTAGGAAATCTAAGCAACATGAACAACAGTCCTGGAAGGAAGACAAGAATTCTTCACACCAAACCACCTCTAATCATATTTAAGTAATGTTTTGGAAGACAAAATGTCTATAAACTTGTAATTTCTTATACAGCAAGTTGCTCTATAAAGACTTCTAGAATTAGAAAGTGATTGTGTCCTTTCTTCTTAAAGAGGTCTAGGGAAACAGATCTATGCAGATGTATATGCTTTAGTTGAAGTCTGTATCATTTTTAGACATAAAGAATTAAGACACAACCTAAATTCTAGCTACACTTGACATTTTACATTAGGTTGCTACCACCATCTCTTTTTCTGAACAAAATGACTCAAAACTTTCCCTCAGTCTTGTAGGAATTGTTCCCTTTGACTTCTCCTCTTTCTTCTTCCTTTAATTGCTTCAAACTACTATTAGTTCAGGTTACGTCTATCCTAATAATATAGTTCACACTTTGAAAACTGTTTATGTACCTCTTTAGCAGAATCTAATGTATTGCTAGGGTGTGACTTAGACCAGTGAGCCCGAAAGTTAAAAAATGTACAGATTGATGTTTTCCTTCAAATATAGAAAGCTTCCTTTGGAATTCCTTTATTTAGTGGCTCTGCAGCATCCCATCTGCACATGGTTTCTGGGTCTTATTATATAAAGATGAGCTTCGCAATATGATCTTGGGAGTCACTAACTTTCCCTCTCTGTCTTCCTTTTCCTTCTGCACTGTTTTGTGCTTTTATTTGTCTCAGGCTGGTCAGTTTTCCTTAATGCTTGTAGTTTTTGTTTCAATAATCGTGCTTCTGGAAGATTGAATTATTTGCCTATATTACCTTCTTCCCCCTTCCCCCTCTCTGATCTATGTTTTCCCCACTAAAAGTTGGCTGCCTATTTCCTCCTCTTGACTGTGAACTTGACCACTGACTTGCTTTATTTAGTTAATGGCTTTATGGGCAGTTCTGAGCTTCCGCCTCCTTTCTGCTCAGTCCTCTTGCTTGTCTGCTGTTGTCATAATGAGAAAAGAAAGCAGTCTGTTAGCTTGTTAGGGCAGAGAAAAAGATGAGCAGATGCATCAAACCTACAGCTTCCAGCCACTTAGCTGAGGGCAGCCAAAGCCAACAGAGTCATGTAACCAAAGCCAGGGATTGTGTCAGGAGTCCCACAGCTGTTCTAATGGTACTCTGAGAAAGCTCAGCTCTTCCTGACCACAGGGAGGGTATTAGGGGATTGAGTGTCCTTTATGGGAAGAGGGAGAGCAGCTCCTTTCTTCCCTTGGGATGGAGACTAAAATAGCTAAATGCTGTGAGCACCGAGCAAGCCTAATCCAAAAATCTAAAATCTGGAAAAATTTGACCCAAAGCTATATGAGCACTAACAGACACCCCACGTGGAAAACTCCACACCTGCTTGCTGTAGGTTCAAGGCACACATATTACCTTTCATGCACAGTAAAAAATAATTACCTTCAGGCTATATGTACAAGAAACATAAGTTTTGTATTTAGACATGGGTTCCATCCCCAAGATATCTCAGTATGTATGGGCAAATATTCCCTGTCCCCTCAAAATATGGATTCTATCCCAAGCATTTTGGAGAGGGGTTACTAAGCCTGTAGTAGAGAAGATGCAGCACAAGAGAAGCAGAAACTGGCTTCTAGGGTGAGAAGGAGGTCCTCCCTCAGAAGGACCTGAGGAGGAGCGGGTGCCCATGGTAGCGCTGCTCACAGAGAGCAGCCCAGGGAACACAGCTCACTCCCAGCCCACATCCAGTGCCCAGGTGACCATCACCTGGTAGGACCGTGACAGCAGCAGAAGAAACATCCCCTGAGTCTGAGCCTAACCATGACCCTTTTTCTTTCCTTCCTGAGTGGGTATCTAGCTCTTAAATAGGCCCAAGAGACTGCCTACATACATGGCGTGTGCTCTTTACCTTCTTCACGCAAAGATAAAAGGACTTTATTTTTCTGACTACGGTCATTCCTGTCTTCAGAATAAACCAGCCTCTAGTGATCAATTTAGCCCAAAATGGGTCTCCATTTAAGACTCTAACCTCTAGGTGTCATGGCTCAGCTTTTAAGGGAATAATGATCACCTCCTGGACCATAATAATAACATATCTGTACGCAAGCCAAGGTGAGATAGCTAATTTGGTTAGAAGACCACAAGACAAATAGAAAAGGTCATAATAACTGGATCCTGTTTTCCAAATCTTCCTTTGGCCTTCTGTTTATAAGAGCTTCCTCGTGCACGCACATACATTCATACATGTATGTATATTTTATAACTGGCTTGTTACAGTTTAGTCTTTACTTTTATATTCTGAGAGTACATGCATAAACACATGCATATACATGATGTATATATACATATATGACTACAACCCCCGTCCCCTACAAATATCTTATTTGTTTGCTATAGAGTAGTAGCAAAGTTTACCCAAGCTATCCTAACATCTTTTCTCAGGATATCAGGACCTAATCCAAGTATGGGCGCAGGGTGAAGGATGCTTTTGGGGTTTCAATCAGCTGGTTGGTTCTTTATTGACACAATCAGAGGCACCAAGGTACCTCGAGTTTTCATATATTTTGAGAATAAATGATGAGTAGCAGTTTAGCTAATGATCTTTGCTTTCTTTCTCCCTTTCTAGATACAGGATGTTACTATGTCTCCCAGGCTTCCCTCAAATGGTTTATTCTCCTGTTGCCTCAGTTTCTATTACCCTGGACAAACCTTTTCATCTTCACCATCCACCTGCAAGGAGATGAAGCATGGGAGGCCGGACACCTGGCAGGATTTGGGGGAATGGGTTGAAAGGGGTAGTCTTGGTTCTAAGTTATCTACACTCAGTACTGCATACTCTCAGTCCCACCTCTTGGATAGTTGTAGTTCTCAAGTGCAAACCTATGTTTCTTGCTCCTGGATGAGCCTGGCCAGCCAACAGCCCTAGGCAGGTTACTTATCTTCCAGAATGAAATGGTCAGAAATGGTTGAGAACCAAAGAGGAAGCAAACCACTCTCTGAGCAGTGGAAGGAGACCATTGAAGGGTCATTTGTGCAACACAGGCATGCAAACCTACCCCTGGCTGCCCCTATGTACTCTTCATTTCAATCCTAAGACCCTTGGCTAGTTTCCTCATTTCAAACTGATCCCATGTAGCAAATCTGCAAATACCCATGACTGAGGTAGGAACAGCTAACATCCTGATCCAGAGGTTAAAAGACTAAAGCTGATATATGAACTCAAAAAAGTGACTCACAACACCTGAGGGGCCCGTGAACACGTCCCTGTATTGTACTACAACCCAATGCAATAAGAGTACTCTTGAGTAATAATCTGAGTTATATGGAAACATCAAGTCATGTATATGTTGGTTTAGAAGGTAATATAATGCCCGGGGAAAAGGTGACGGCATGGAGAAAAGGGACCCCTAGTGGAGAAGAGTGGTTACTGCATGGCACACTACAGCAACGATGTCCAAGGGCTGGAAATGACCTACCTCTGAATGTTATCCTCCAGTTGCTTGACTCTGAACTCATCCTCCTCAGACTGCCTTCTCCTGGCTTCTTCTTCCTCGGCAGTTCCTGCGGGCATTCCCTGCAGCAGCCATTTTTCCCGAAGCACTTTGGACTGTGGAAATGAGGGAAGACAGACAAAATGACCCTTCTCAGTTTACACTAGAGCCTTTTGTTCTACCGCTCCTCTGCTTTGTCTGAATCTCTGTCTTCACTTAGTTTACTACTTCCCTCTGGCCTAGACTCTAGGGCCTCTCCCAAGGGATTTATTTCTTTATTTTTAAATTCATTTACATGTTTATTTAGAACCTACAAACAAAATTCTGGCTCTAAAACAAATTCTAGCCCTTATATAATTATTACATTAGTCAGAAGACAGGATATCTTTTGTGCAGCACAGAGATAAGCGAAGTGAGGGAGTGATAAAGGAAGGTGTTGCTCTATCTAGGAAGGGTCCACAAGGCCTCTCGGGCAAGGTGATATTTGAGCAGGGACCCATAAGAAGTAAGGAACAAGTCAAGTGGTTATCTGGGTAAATGTGGCCCTCAGAAAGAAGTTGTTGGTGTTTGCCTTTTCTTTTTCTTTTTCTGGATTAAAAAAATTGTTATTATAGCCAGGTGCCCGTGGCTCACGCATGTAATCCTAGCTAGTCAGGAGGCTGAGAACTGAGGATCACAATTTAAAGCCAGCACTGGCAGGAAAGTCTGTGAGACTCTCCCAATTAACCACCAGAAAACCAGAAGTGGTGCTGTGGGTCAAATAGTAGAGCGCTTGCTTGTGCTAAAGCATGTAATCCTAGCTAGTCAGGAGGCTGAGAACTGAGGATCACAATTTAAAGCCAGCGCTGGCAGGAAAGTCTGTGAGACTCTCCCAATTAACCACCAGAAAACCAGAAGTGGTGCTGTGGGTCAAATAGTAGAGCGCTTGCTTGTGCTAAAGAGCTGAGGGGCAGCAGCTAGGCCCAGAGTTCAAGCCCTACGACTGACAAAAAAATGTTATTATAAAGGTGATGTACAGAGGGGTTATGGTTACATAAGTCAGGTAATGGGTACATTTCTTTTTGGACAGTGTTACCCTTCCCCTCACTCTCTCCCAGCGTCTTCCTCCTGTCCCTACCCACAAGTTGTTTGGTTGTTTTGTGTGTTTTAAAATTTTTTTCCCACCTACAAGTTGCATAGTTCATTTTCAGCATAGTGTCTAGTGAGTACCAATGCTGCATTCGTTTACCCATTGTCCCTCTTGTTTCCATTTCTTGGAATTCATTTTGATAAATATTATTTTATATGATCAGAGGCACATAGGCATTATGCCCTATGCTCCTCCTCTAAGGAAAGCTATGAAAACAGCTCATCTGTCCTACAACTGGGGAATGGACCTGGAAGATGTCACATATAGATACAAGGGAATGTTATTCAGTCATAAAGAAGAACGAAATTGTGTAATTGGAAGGAAAATAGATGGACCTTTAAAGCATTATAGTAAGTAAAGTAAGCCAGACTCAGGACAAAGAACCCACATTGTTTCTCATATGTGGATGTTAGATCTAAAATATAAAAATATACATATAAGTACATACAGGATCATATGTATGTCTGTATATACATATATACAGGTGGGTGTGGCAGGGTAAAAAAGCTGGACATGAATCAGGATTACAGGTGAGTCTCCAGTTTTGTTTTCTTTTTTAAAAAATATGATCCAGCATTTGTTATTTTTATAAAGTCCTACTTAGCAATCTTTTCACTTTGTAATTTTGCCCTTGGTATCAGACTTGGATAAGGAATCCTTACCCTCTCAGTATAAAAAAACATCCATCTGTGATTCATTCTTGTGCTTTTATGGTTTTACCTTTTACCCCAAGTCTCATTCACCTGTATATCTAGCTAACGCTAGCACTGGCTGTGTGGGGATGATAGTTAGAACCTGGCTAAATTCAAGTTTCTAAAAGAAAAAGGGTTAAACTCAGAGGTGAGAAGCAATCATAATGTTTTATTTTCAGTCATTCATTCCTGTTCCCTCCTTCCTCTTCCCCAGTGCCCCTTCTCATTTCCTCTCTGCTCTTTCACCCTGGTAAGATCGTGGTTCGGTTTTGAGATTTGATTCACATAGAGAGAAGCCAACTGAAGACTTGTCAGCAAAGTGAAGTGTTGCTTTCCACTCAAGCCCTGCTTTCAGGGCTGTTGGGAAATGGGGTAAGAGGTAAAGTTCCCTTCCATGGCATCGTGCCTAACTGTTGAATATTTGAAAAATTGAAAAGTGGCTTTTTTTGCATGTACTAATAACACAGAAAAGTCTAAAAGTAGTGATAAAGGTTCAAAATAGTAAGGGACACTGTGATGATATTTTTGTAGTAAGGTTCCTGAGACCTTCTGGCTACTCAGCAAACGACCTTGGCAAATGACAAATTCAGCAAATGACAATGAATATTTCACAGGGTCACAAATCAGTCTGTGATCTTTTTGCCTTCAGTCCTCTTTAATGAAAAGACTGTGGTCCTTCCAATATAAGACCATTTTTGTTGCTTGGGCTTGGAGAAACTCTAGTCAGGGCTCCCTGTTCATAAATAAGTAATTCAAAGGCAGTATTGATATTGAAGATGTGATATTGGCAGTTGGATTGTGACAGTGCTGACTGTGTCAGACAAACCTTGACAAATGTGGCAGTCCCCCAGGAACCCATGCAGCAATCCACACCAAGGGCAGACTCTGTACTGGGGCTTTGAACAGGCCAATAAAAGAGACAAATCTCTGGCCCTTCAAATAAGGGGCAAAGGGAATATTAAGTTCAGCCTGGGCTGGGATTTATTCCTTTTAAATTCATATCATCATGAGTCCTACTGTAAAAACAATAAAAATAAATAATCATTCCCACAGACTAAGAAGCCAAGGCAATGTTTCAAAAGAAGAATGATGGCTCCTGCCTTATGAAATATTGCAATATATTGAAAAGCTATAGAGATTAAATGAGACTTGTGCTGTCTCAGGAATGAGCATCTTAATGGGATAAAAAGAATCCAGAACATTAGACTTGAGTATAAGGGTGAATATATTTGTGAGAAAGATGACATGGAACTCAAGGAGGGGAAGAATGAATTAATACATCATATGGAGACAGTGGTAAACAGAAAAAAACAAACTTATATTCCTACATCATGCTTTATAAAATTCTAGATGGGTCAAAGCTTTACAGGTAAACATGAGAGGAGAAATATTCAAGAATGACTTCAAAGTCAGAAATCACAACCTGAAATAATGCTGGATGTAATTGCATGAAAATTGTGTTTTTTGTGTGTGGGAATGTAAAAGAGTCCACATACAAAAAAAGGAATAAAGGATAATTAAAGGAGATCTGGATACCAATGTTAATATAAATTCATTTTTATAAGATGATGCTAAGCGAGATGAAATCCAAGAATAAAAAATATATACAAATTCATTTTTTCCACAGGATTATGAGACCTGTGAACTGGGCTACATACCCCAAACTACAGAAATAAATATCACTGGGAGACAGTAGAGGAACACAGAATCCAGGGGCTATCTCTGGATGGTAAGAATCAGTTGGTACTTTTATTTCTGGTCTCATATTTTAAATGTAGTTTTTGTAATGACCATCTTTCCTTTTATAATAAGTAAAAACAATGTGGTTATCAAAGTTGTTTATTAGTCCCACTTGTATAATTTTTCATTATTTAATTACTAAATATAGCTAGGCATCTTCTAAAAGGAAATCTGAGTTTACTAGAACTAGGAACTCGAATAGCTAAAGGCCCCCTAACTCACTGGGGTATAGCAATTTGTATTTCAACATTTCATACTTGAACTTTTCATTGCATTGAAGAATTGGCTCGCAGTTCCAATACAATGACATTTCATCAGTGGAGTTACCGTGTATTACTACATACAGCCATGAGCAAGAATATTAAGCATGCATATGCCAGAACCATTGGCTTGCATTCTGTTTATTTGCTAGGACAACAGACTAGTGAATCTGTCTAAATAATTGATATCTCATTGCATGAAATAAACCTCTCCAGGTTACTGAGTATGTAAGATATATAAAATATAGATATGCGATTTGGGAATTGCACAGAGAAGATGAGAATTATGTCTTAATAAATATGAAACTTAACTCTAATATCTTCCCATTTATTTTTACACTGAGAACACTGGTTTTCCTCAAGAGCATCCAGGATCTTGTAAATTAGTGAAATAAATACCAATTACGGACACATTTTTCTAACATTTCCTACTTTGGGTGCCTTCTATCATTCCAGTGACCTGTCTCCCTGTGTGCTAAATTAGCTGGAGTTCATGCAAGTATACTGAGAGAAAGAGGGACAGTGATGGTGGCATCTTCCCAGACAAATTAATCAAAAGGTTATGCTTTGTTTCAAGAGAATGGTGCCCTGGGAAGAGCCAGTGTCTGCCTGAACAGTCAGCCGTAGGGTTCAACCTGGGCTCCCTCACCTGCACTCTCCTTGGCTTTCACCTCCGGAATTTGCTTCCTGGGAGAAGATCAGGTAGCTTGTGGTTATCATTGAGAGTTTCTATTAAAGTACCTGACCCATGTTGGGCATCATAAAAAATTTAAAAACAGTGACTATACTGAGGATGGCAAAGCAGCTATGCCACTAGGGGGACGCTGACAGCTGTCCTCTGAAGCTCACAGTGGAGAAAGCACACAATCTTGAATGGACTTACACCTAGGAGGCCACTAAGCTGGAAACTGAATGATCCCAAGGAGGAAGACCACATGAGGCCAGTGTAGTCAACAATTGGTTTGAAGTGGGACACCGTCCCATCTGGTGCCTGACTGATCATAGCCCTCAATTACATACTCTCTTCCTTATATGGAAATAAGGGGGATGATGGACTCAGAACAAAAAGAGGCAGAATCATGAGCAAAGTTTCACCTGAGTCTAAGGGAGGCTCAATGATTCTCCTGGCCCTCACACTGACTCTACCTCCCAGAACTTGGCAAGGGGTATATGTGTCTTTCTCCAGGTGGTACCAGATAACACACTGCTACCTTTGCAGCCTTTCAGCATTCCTGTTCATGTTAAAGACCAACACTTCAGCCTCATTCTTTCTACACAAGCCTTTCTCTGAGAGAGGAAAATACAATGCTTTGGTCCCCAAATATAATTACTAAATTATAATCCCTTCCAGTCTTCCCCACACAATTATAGCAAAATGACCTTGGTGAAAGTGTTGCGTATATCTTTACATAGCCAAGTGTGGAGAGCACAACTTCTTTCCCTTGTTGCTAAATCCATACAGAACTTCATTGTTTCTGCATGCAAAACGAAGTCATTTTTACTTTTGTTTCTGCTAATGAGATGGATGGATGGATAGAAGGATTGACAGATGACAAGAGAATTGATAGGCTGGTCACTGTTGAATCCCACCTGTAAACCTAGCTATCTAAGAGTCTAAAACCTACGGCTGGGAAGTTGGCTCAGTGGTAGAGTGCTTGCCTCACGTGCATGAGGCCCTGGGTTTGATTTCTCAGTACCACATAAGCAGAAAAAGCCGGGAGTAGTGCTGTGGCTCAAGTGGTAGGGCGCTAGCCTTGAGCTGAAGAGCTGAGGGACAGCGCCCAGTCCCAGAGTTCAGGCCACATGACCGACAAAAAACAAACAAACAAAAACCTGAGGACAGTGATTCAAAGCCAGCCCAGGCAAGGAAGTCCAAGAGATTCTTATCTCCAATTAACTGTATATAAAAAAAATGGAAGCAGGGGCTGGGAAGGTGGCTCAGTGGTAGAGCGCTTGCCTTGCATGCATGAGGCCCTGGGTTCGATTCCTCAGCACCACATAAGCAAAAAGAAAAAAGCCGGAAGTGGTGCTGTGGCTCAAGTGGTAGAACACTAGCCTTGAGCTGAAGAGCTGAGGGACAGCACCCAGACCCAGAGTTCAGGCCCACGACCGGACCCAAAAAAAAAAAAAATGGAAGCAGAGCTGTGGGACTGGGAAGTAGATGAGTGCCAGCCTTGAGCAAAAAAGCTAAATGACAGAGATCAGGTCCTAGTTAAGCCCTGATTTAATCACACACATACACACACACACACACACACACACACACACGCACGCACACGCACGCACGCACGCACACACACACACACACACACACACACACACACACACACACACCACGATAAATGGCATATGAACAGAACAGAACAGAATGCAAACAGCAGCAGCAAATGTGTCTCTACTATCTTATTTGGCATCCAGAATGATGAAAAGTAGGACAAGATGGACTTAGTCTTCTGACATATGTTCAACTGTCTGACTTGGGATCCAAGGAACATAAAAGCTAAGAGCTACAGAGAGGTTAAGGAAGAGAGGCTCTCTTTCTTGTTCATTTCTCTTATTAAAAACATCATCCTTCCATCACAAATTCACTGAGGTTTTAAAGTGTTGCTGTCTAACGCCTGTCCCGATTGAGCTTGAGTGATTCACTCGATTCTGTTAGTGTTTTTAAGGCCCACTCTGAAAGCAGAGGTTACTAATTTTAGTTGCAATCCTCCTTCAGGAATGTTGTCAGGAAAAGAGTAACGACATATGGACAATAATGCAGCCTCCTACAAAGAAGAGTTTGAAAAATCTGCAAAGGGATATATGTAAATACAAAGAAATAATCATCTCAGTATCACACTATTTTTTTCCCCTTTTAAACACATTTCCCAGGTTAAAGTGCAGGGTAAACTGATAGGCATGCTGAGCAGATATAGGTCATGGTGTTCTTTATCATCATGAGTTAATTTGCTCAGGATTCACATTTGTTTGAGGATTTGCTCAGCATAACCTGATTTTCTAGATAAGAATAGGAAATGAGACCATACAGGTCTCACCTAGTTTAAAAGAATTCAAATCATTCATATCTGAGAATCACTATCCTGAGGATCAGCACCACCTTCCCAACCTGCCCTGTGAGCCAATCAATTGCAGACATGCAGGGTCACAGTAACTTGAGGTGGACAGCACATTTCCTTTTTTAAAAAGAAGCCCAGGGGCAGTCAAAGGTGAGCAGCGATTCCCAGGTGGCCATGGAACATGGTCACATTACTCTCTCAACATGCAGAAAGCAACACTCAGCCACTACTAGAGTCCTCGTGACAGTGACAGAGCTTTCTCTTGGGCTCTAATCAATTACAATGCTTAAGTGCATTCTGTTTAAAGGGGGAAAAACTCAGAGCTCTATCTTTTTCTTATGGCACAATGGAGACTCCAGCAAATCAAATCATTTAAAAGCCATCTTTGACCAAACTGCATGTTCTAACAGAACACTAAAATAGCTGAAGTAGGAAAAAAAAAAGATGATTGGTAATACGTAGTGTTATTCTTTTATCAGATCATGCTGTTTTTCTCTCCCTTTTCTCCACACATCAACAATGATACTAATAGTTTTCATTGTTAAAAAGTACATTATGTGAAGTGTATCTTTTGGTACCCAGAGAAAACAGCCCGGGCCGCTGGGCGTAGTCTCAGTCGGTTTCTATATATAATTACCACATTTCACCGCACACCCCAGCCCATACCCATCCACATGCACACTGTCATCTCATGCTTGCAGAAATCAGAACGCTGTCAGGATGCCTGGAATCTGAGAAATCCACCAGAAAAGCTCAGCGCTGGTTTCCTGATTGAATGAACTAGCGGGTTCAATCGGAGGCAGCGTCTTCGCAGCAGGGCAGGCTCTGCCCGGCTCTCCAGGGTGTGATCTGCATGGTTAATCATGGTAGTGGGTTCATGGCATCATGGGAGCAGCGTCTTACCTTGGAATGCTGGAGCAGCAGTACCTGCTCGTCAAGCTGTTGTCGCTTGCCTTCTATTTCTGTCTGTCTCTTTCTTTTTTCCTTGAAAAGAAAAGAGAGAAAGGCTGTCAGAGTGGGTGGGTGTTGGCTCTGGGAATGTGAAGGCAGGGAGCAGGAGAAGCAGCTCACATCTGTGCAGACACTTCCAGAGAAGGCTGGTCATACACGCAGCATCACCTGCCCCACTGTTGCTGGGCGTGGAGCAAGCAGCGGGATTCTAACATGTCTGCAGTGGGCTTGACGAGTGGGAGAAAGTCTCCTCACTCAGCCGGGCTGCAACATTTAATCCAGAAGAAAAGGCGGCAGGCACACACACACACACACACACACACACACACACACACACACACACACATACACACACAGCCTTGTGCTATGCAGTATTAATTTGGAGACAAAGAATAAAAATGTCTCAATCCAAAAGACAGAGATGGTTGCAAATTGAAAATGGGATAGAATAAAACTGTGTGTGTGTGTGTTAGGAATTCTACATTTTATCAAAATCACACATATCTATATATAGATAATATGATGTAATTTCAAATTCAGTAGGGCAAATCATCTAGTTCTAGATACTAAACAATAGAAATAAGAGGAGTGGTCTTTGCTTAAGAAAAAAAAAAGCTATGTGGGAAGTTGAGATCTGAGGATGGCAGTTCAAAGCCAGCTGGGGCAGGAAAGTCTGAGAGACTCTTATCTCCAGTTTACCACCAGGAAACCAGAAGTGGCACTGTGGCTCAAAGTGGCAGAGTGCTAGCCTTGAGCAAAAGGAGCTCAGAGACAGCACCCAGGCCCTGAATTCAAGCCCCATGACTGATTAAAAAAAAAAAAAAGCCGTGGGGCCAGATATCAGTGGCTTGTACCTGTAATCCTAGCTACTCAGGAGGTACAGCTCAAAGCTAGCCTGGGCAGAAAGTCTGTCAAACTCTTAGCTCCAATTAACAACCCAAAAGTCCAAAGTGGAGCTGACTCAAGTGGTAGAGTGCTAGCCTTGAGTGAAAAAGCTAAATGACAGGACCCAGGCCTGAGCTCAAGCTCTGCCCCTTCCCCCATGTCCACCCCACCTCCCCTGCCTAAAAAATGCTTTGGGGGAAAGCATTTCATGTGAGTAAGGCTCTGTAAGGCTTGGTGAACACCAAATCTAAAATCTGTCTACCTGCTTCTAACTCCTAGCCCTACCATCTTCTACAGGTATACCATCTGGTAAGATCCTTTAGATTTCCGAGTCTCACTCTTCTGCATAAAACAGAGACAAAAACTGGTGTGTGTGTGTGTGTGTGTGTGTGTGTGTGTGTGTGTGTGTGTGTGTGTGTGTGTGTGTGTGTGTGTGTGTGTGTGTATGTATGTAGGGGGAGATACTAGGGCTAAAACTTAGGGCCTCCCATTCTTGCTTGGCTTTTTTACTCAAGGCTGGCAGTCTAACCACTAGAGCCATACCTCAGCTTCAACTTTTGCTAGTGAATTAAAGATTAGGTTCTCATGGACTTTTCTGCCCATGGTGGCTTTGAACCTCAGACTCCTGCATAGACTAGGATTAGAGGCATTGAGCACCAGCACCTGGCTTGTGAAATATTTTCAATCTCTATAAATCTGATTGGGATGTGTGTTAAATGAGATGACACATACTAAGGGCTCAGAACAATGCCTGGCACACAGGAAGCACTCAATTGCTTTTTTACTATTATTCTTCAAGGCATCTGTTTATTTCTACCTAATACCCAGGGACTGGTTTAGAAGGGATGTATTTCCCTTTTACTTCCCTTTAGAATGTGCTTTCATATTTCTCTTCAACTTCATCATAGAAATGTTGTTCATAAGAATGCAAAGGCCTGGTACTTAGTAGACTCTATTGAAAATGAACTATAAACTGTGGTATGTGGGGACAGGAGAGAAAAGCTGGGAAAGGATAAAGGAAGGGTGACATTTCTCAAAAAGAAATGAAGAAATGTCTCTTCATCTGATTTTATGGAACTGTAACCCCTCTGTACATCACCTTTATAATAACAATTTAAAATGCAGGAAAAAAAGAATGCAAAAGCCTGCCCTTACTATGGTAGCTCTGTTCCCAATGCACAGAATGGGATCATTTTCTTTACTTACAAATGGAGGGAGAAACTTGTTAGGCAAGACATCATGACATTGTACAACACAACAGCCAAATCCTGGTGAACACAACAATGCAGACTCCTGGCTACCCTGCCCAGTGTAACAGAAGCTTGATTTTATGTAGTGCCGTATTTCTGGCCATGTGCTTGTACGACTGCTGTTCAGATCAGTGCAACACCATTCACAATATAATGAAGTTTTTCCTTACATATTGCATGCTTTAAGTTATATGAGTTCATAACCAGGTGTGGTGGCTCAATCTATAACCTAGTGGTTAAACTACATAATGACAATGGCAGTAAAAGCCACAGTGCTAACACAACTGGCTTTCTGTGTCTTTGTGTTCTCTATCCGCATGTCCAAGCAACTAGAGAATATTTGGAAAAAAAAATGTGTGCCTGTATTCAGGGTGGTATAGTATAATAACTACTTATGTAACATTTATATTGAATTAGGATTAAGAATAATCTGGAACATTGACAAGAAGCACTGTATTCAAGCTGATGTGTTGGACTGGAACCCCTTTGTGTAAGTACTTCAAGCTAATTTTTAAGAGTAATTTAGAGACAAATTAAAGGAGTCAGGGAGAATGTGTGTAGGTTATATGCAAATACTACTGCTATTTATACCAGGGACTTGAGCATCTGTAGATTTTGGTATCCAGGAGATCTTGGAATCACTCCCTCTTGAATACTAAGGGGCAACTAAAACAATAACAGCAACAACATTTATTAATGTGTCAGGAATCATTATAAAAACTTCCTTTCCATTTTCACTTAATCCTTAGAATATTTTTGAGGTATGTACCTGTTATTTTCTCCACTTCACTGAAGAATACAAATAAAATTTAGTGATATGTGAAGTGGCCAGAGTTAGGACTTAAGAAGTTGAAAGACCTTAAGAACACTTTACCATGAGCAAGACATTCTGGTGTCAAATCCTTCCTTCCTGAAATAGGAGGCCTGTGACAAAATTTTGAGCATTTCCCACTTTCAAACAAAAACAGGGTCATGGCTATGCTAGAAACTTCAACAATACCTAGCGAAGTGCACTATATTCATTTACTTAATCTCTGTAGGAGACATTTCCAGGGTCAAACGATCTCTAGTTGTAGAGGTGGGAAGGAAGGGATAGTAGGGAAAAACAAAGGAGGAGGCAACAATGCTTGATAAGAAATGTACTCATTACCTTGCTCATGTAACTGTAACCCCTCTGTACAGTATTTTCACAATAAAAAACTTATTTAAAAAAAGAGAACAAAGTATTTCTCTCCTATATATTTCTCTCCTATGAGAAGGTTTTGTTGCAGACAGGTAGCAGCTATGAAGGATGCCAAATAACCTAGAATAGAGGAGACTCTCCAGATTTGGGTGATGTGAGTATTCCAATACACCTCCCTAAAGTCAGATGCGAGGAAGAATACAGGATAGAGAGCTCTGTGAGCCGTCTCAGGGAGATATGTGAGGCAGAGAGGATGGACCTCAGGAGGGAAGCACGTGGATACTGGGGGTCTCACCAGAGGTGGTGCTGATCTCAGAGCTGCACCCCATGAGACAGCAGAGAGGCCATGGGACAGCAGAGAAGCTACGACACAAAAGTGTGTCCAGCAGCAGAAAGAGAACACAGTGGTGTAGCCTCTACACACACACACACACACACACAAAGGAATACAAACTCCCACCAACTAGCAAAATTCCATACTGAGCCATAAACATCATAAACATATTTTCTTACTTTTGCCAATTATCTGTTTGTTTCTTAGATGCCAACACCTGTGGAATATTGCTGATACATCATTTTTTAGTACAGAAAAGTATGATATATGTGTACCTACATATAAATCATAATATATCCCTACCTTGATCAACACAGTTAGAATTGAGACATGCAAATAAAAGTGTTAAATGCACATAGTAAAAAATGTACCCCCAAAACAAAAGGAGCATTTGGATCTCCTTATTCCTGTTAGCTTTGTTCCTTTAGGCAAAAAATTCTGTTGCTTCCCACCAGGAAGTAAAATGAACAGAGTAACACGCAAACGCAAGATCTTTTATATTTAATATAAAAGACCTGATCTTTATAGTTGGCTGTCTCTGCTTAGAGTGATGCACCTGAGGAATTTCCTTCCCCAGCACATGGAGTCCCACCCAATTTTTGTAACTGGTCCACAGATACACCTTAATTTAACTTGGTACTCAGTGGCGGATTGATTACTTAGTAGCTGCAAGTGTTTTGCTTGTTATTATGAACAGAGATGTCTGAAAGCTCCTCTACATCCATCTTAGACATACTTTTGTGACTCCATTAACAGGAGTAGGTTTCAAATAGAACTGTTAAGCTTTAAGAGTGACAAATTACCTTCCCTAAAAACATTTTCTCTGTGTTTTTAAAAAATTGATATTTTATTATTAAGATGCTGTACAGAGGGGTAACAGTTACATGAATAATATGTATATTTCCTATTGAGCATTGTTATCCTATCCTTTGTTTTCCCCCTACCATCCCTACTTTCCCTCCCCACCCCTAGCTCCTCTCCCCCTCCAAGTTGTAAAGTTCGTTTTCAACATAGTGTCTTGTACATCTCATTGTCACAATGGGTCAACCTGTATCCTTATTTCAGCATTTTGTTATTTCCCTTCCCCTCCAAGTTAGAAAAATGTATATACAGAGGGCACTGGAATCACTCAGGGGCTGAGTTCAAGCCTTACAACCAACCAAAAAAAAAAAAAAGGACATGATTCTGAGCAAAAAAAAAAAAAGAAACACAATCAATTGATAAGTTGTGTCAGTTTTTACCCTTGTTAGCACTATCTTTATGGCCCAATGGGGATCTTAAAAGAAAATATATACCTGCAAAATATATAACTGCAATGCTCTCAAAATACACTTGGATAATGTATTCTTTTTTTTTATTGTGAAAATACCATACA